TTGCCCTTATCCCTTGGTGCTAGCCTACCGTGGTGGCCTCACTAACTTGCTCATTGCGAATACGAGTTCGTGGGGTCGCGAGTTGCTGCAGATTTGTTTTTATCACTTTTTACAATATTTATTGATGTATCCCTAACTCATCGAGTCATTTTTAGCTTTGATTTCCCATATACGCCAGCCTAAATATCCCATGGTCAGAATATTTGCATGGTTAGTGGACATTGTCCCTTTCTTTCTAATGTTTAATATTTTATATTGCCGATAGAAATAATTTTATCCGCTTGATTTAGGAAGTGCACATAGGTAGGTCAACATATTTTGTAGCTCTTTCGGATGTAAAAGCATATGTTGCATAAGAAATTATTATCTTCCAAGCATACTCACATTTCACTAACAAATAGGGGGAGGTTCAGACTTCAGAGCAATGATAAAAAGGTTTATTCCTCACTCTTTTGTTGAAATTTTAGTTCCAAGTTAACATGATTTCTTATCCGCTTCATAAGTCATGCATCTGCTTAATTAGGTGATAAGTAGGGCTATTGTGGGGTTTGTTTAAACTCCAGCATAAGGAATTCTGGTTTAAGAAAAAAGACTTTTGGCTTCTTTAATTACAAATTGATTGCAACATCATGTTAGTATGTGATTTCTCACATCTGGTTGTAATATTTGTGAAGACGTGCATTGCACGTGCACTTGGAAGCGGGCCCGTGGCCCGCGCCGGACGGCGCCGACGCTGACCCGGGCCACCTCCTCCGCGTATTCTTGGAGCTGTGGCTGGCCGATTTACATGAAATTAATTCCCTCAGTTCTGGTGGCAAATATAATACACATAATCCATATTGTTATGCACTAGCGTGTGTGTGTGAAATAGATGGATTATGGTCCCGTACCCAATAAGATGGATATGTGTGTGTTAGAGAGAGGGAGAGGGGGAGAGAGAGTGAGGAAGAGGGAGGGAGTGTGTGTGTGTGAGGATTTGATGGTAAAAAAGGTCGCCAATGTCGTAATATTGAACTCTTTAAGTTAACGTGGCCCCGTTGCAATGCACGGGCGTTCTTCTAGTCAGTGTTAAAATCCCAAAAAATCTGTACTAACTGATCTGCATAACTCTATGTCCATGTTGTGTCTGTGTGGCCCAGCTAAATCCAGGTCCCGGCCCAACCAGCGGTTCACAACCTAGAGAAAGACTCGCGGCCTCGCCGCTCGTAACATGCCATACTCCCTCATTCCCTTTCTTCGCTCCCTCTCGCCTCTCTGCTTCTCTCCCTAACCCTAGCTGCAGTGGTGGCCTGTGGCGCCTGCGCCGCTACTCTCAACATCTCGCCTCTCTGCTCTTGATGCGGGACACTGCTACTCTCCGCCTCTTGCCTCGCTGCATGCGGCAATGATGCCGGTTGCTGGAGCCTAGAGCTGGAGGAAAGGAGACGCGCCGGTGGTTGTTGCCTTGCTAGAGCCGGCGGATCGGATTCAACGACAGCATCAGCAAGCCAACAACGTAAATCCTCTCAGCCACTCCCCATTTCCCGTCTCCAGATCACCTTCATTTAGTCCTGAATTCTTGATGCAAATGTTCAAGGAGGCGAGGATGTATGTGTATGGGGTGATGACTTATATTGTGATGTGTCTGTATGTTCGACAAGGAGACATGTGATGTTGTGATGTGTGTGTATGTTCAACAAAGAGACATCTGAATTTTTGCTACTGTGATTGTCAGGCTGTATATGCACTATATTGTCATGTTACTAGCAAATATGTTGGTTGTGCTCTACTCTGAATTTCAAAACTATCTGAATTTGCTGTAGTACATTGTTCTGAATATTTCGGTTTTTGGGTACCCGAACTACGCAAACCAAATTTTTTGGGTAATTTGGGAACGGGCAGATTAAAATTTGGTTTTCATTTTGAACTAAGCGAATTACCCGTAAACCGAACTACCCGAACCGATAAAACTGAATTACCCGAGCGCCAGAGTGAGACGTACACAACGTGTGAGGATGGCCACAAGAAGCGACCTACAATCTAGAGTTGAAAAGGAATGATTCTCCAGACGACTCGATGGCACCACAGAGCTACACATGTGATCGTCAAGTAAACAGGGCCAGACACAAGTTTGGGTATCATGTTCGACATCACAGCGTGCCCGGCCTAGCTCCTGACGCATGGTATCAATGAACAGACAAGGGCTTAACTGGATGATGTACTGTGTGGACTATCAGACTTGTGATCTTTCTTCGATCTAGCTACAGTTCAACAACAAATCAATCGCATTTACCGGGCGTGAAACGAGCCGACACCACAAGAAGCCGTGGCGAAATGATCAAATGTTTATTATGGCAGAGAAGAATTCAACGAGCAGGTGTGTCATACACGCCATCATCCAGGTAGTAGCGCCCCAATGGCAAGAAGACATGCCAACACAACCGATCCTGGTAAACACGACGAGGAGAATCCAACACATATCCCAATACAACCCATCTGGGCAGGTTCATGTGTTGTGGGGTGTGCTCAGCCGTTCTATGACCATGTACTATGTTTCTATGCCTGGTGAAAGAAGGAGATGGACTTCTATCGTTGGTAAATAATATGCTAGGCAGATACAAACGCAATACAAACATAATACAAACATAATCACTTACATACCATCTATGAGAGGTGTCCTCGTGCCAATGACTGCTATTCATTTCTTTAATTAGTTTATTTAACTTTTATTTTATGTTTCAAAGAGTTCACTTAACTTCTAGGTTGTAGATGGGGATGCTGACATGTCTGAAATGGGAAAGCAGATGGTTTCAAGTCGTCTCTTTTATTCCGAGTAGGAAGTTTTATCATTTTAGGTCATGTACCGTAGGCGGTATGGTCGGCCTTTCTATTGACTCGGCGTTTATGATCCCGGGCATTGGTTTGTTCTTGCCGGTGAGACCATGTCGTTTGTAGATATACAAACGCAATCAATTGTAGATAGTTGTAATTAGTTTTTTGAAATAGTTCAATTAGCTTTCATTTTATGTTTCAAATAGTTTACTTAACTTCGTAGAATCATCCCTTAGTTCAATTTAGTTGTCTCTCTAAACTAATTCATTTAGCTTCCTACTTTCTGTTTGACATGCTGCTCATGACGTTGCTTATGTTCTTGGTTGCAGATTCTATTATTTCACTTAATATCTGGGCTGTAGTCTTATGTCATCGAAAGGAAATCACAAAGTCATCTAGTTTATGTTGTTGCTTATAGCAAAACATGGGTTCCATTGACCTTATTTATATTATCACCCACAACTTATATATGTTAAAACCCGTAGCAATCCACATAAATTTAACTTGTTTTTAGAGTTTCTTTAGAGCAACTCCAACGGCCCGACCCAAACGGACGGCGTTTTTGTCCGTTTTTTGTCCGTTTGGGTCGGCCGCCCGCCCGCCGTCCGCTCTCTTTTAGTTTTGGGTCGGCAGTGCGTCCAACGGGCTGACCCATTTTCATGACCGCGCGCGCTTAACATCGTGCCGTCGCCCTGATTTTGACGCTCCAGCACGCAGGAAAGGTTCGCGCGTGCTGGTTTTGGCGCTCCAGCACGCGCGCCGCAGCCGACGCTCGCTATAAAAGAAGGCGCTCCCTCCACACTCTGTCGCCCGCCCACTCTCGTCACCTCTGCGCCACCATGTCGATCTGCCGCCTACACGCTCCGGATTTTCGCGGAGTCCGCGAGCGCTGCTCCGGCGCCTTCTCCGCCGAGATCTGGTTTCGCGAGAAACTTCTCGTCCTTGGCACATTCGACACCGTAGAGGAGGCGGCCCGCGCGCACGACGCGGCGGCGTGACGCCTCCTGAGGCCTCGTCGGGATATGAATTTTCCCAACGTGTCGAGCCAGCGGGCGCAGGATCTGGCGCCTCTCCCGCGGCTTTTCACCGACGAGGATCGTCGTGTCCATCGGAGGCGGCAGCGTCGCCTCGCCATCGCAGAGAAGGACGTGGAAGCCTTGGTGCTGTGGCAAGGAGGCTACCCGCATGACATCATCGACAAGCGCCAGTTCTATAAGCAATTGAGATCGGAGAGGGACGCGAGGAAGAGGGAGCGAGCCGCCTATCGGGAGGACAAGCGTTCGCGGAAGCAGGCAGCTCAATTGAAACTGGAGCTACAAGAAACATCGGGTTGGGACTTTGAAGACGAGCAGCTTGCTGACGCCTACCTTCAAACGTCGGAGGAGGACATTACCGAGTCGGAGTCAGAAAGCGACGAGTAGTGGTCTTTTTCTTTTATCTGTGTACGCTAGAACTATCTATGTATCCATTTTAATCTGAAAAAATGGCCGGCGGCATCGGCGACGTAGCAGGCGGGCGAGTGTGTGAATCCAATGTGCCACCGACCAGCGGGCCCGGTGAGGAAAGAGGGCGAGCGCGCGCGTCCGTCTTGTGTCCGTGCCGACGCAAATCAGCCTCAAAAATGGGCCGGGAATGGGTCGGCAGGCGGACGAAAGCGGACGCGCGTCCATTTGGGTCGGCGCGTTGGGCCGGCTTTTTTGTCCGCGCCGACCCAAACGGACGGCCGCGGACGAAATGGATCGCCCAATTGGAGTTGCTCTTAGTGGATTTTTTTCTTTGAGGGAAAAGAAATTTGTTTTCATCATTTTATATTTTTGAGGGTTTATTTTCATCATTTTGTAAAGAACCAGAAATGCTCACATAGAAACAGCCCATATACGGCCCACTGCGGTCATTGACTCACCGCGGTTGCAAAACAACGTCCATGGCTTTCTTCCGATCCCGTCCACCACCACCTGGCTCTTCTTTCTCCTCGTGCTCGTCGCCAGCGACAGCGTGCGTCCCACTCCCACCCGACGCATCTCTTCTTGCTCGGTCCTCTCCTCAGGATCCTCCATCGCGGGGAGCTCCGCAGGTCAGGCCTGAATCCTGCAGCAACCGCGTTAGTCCACCGCTGAGTTTCCCTTTTATGTGTGCATTCCCGTCAGATTCCCGAATGATTAGTGTGTCTGTCGTTCCAGCTTCAGCCGATGCTTCTGGCGGACTCGGGGGTTCTTCCCAGCCATGTCACGGATCGGAGATTTGATGCCGAGGGAGCGGTGAGTTTGTAATCTCCGCCCCGTGTTACTACGATTTCTGCATCTCTGTTGGCACTTAGCTTGCCTTGATTTGGATTGGAGAAGCTTGGCTGGGGGCAGATCAGATGCCTCCTTTCGGGGGAGCATTTGACTTTGTGCTCTAAGCGCCGTTTAGTTGAATTTTAAGCTGAACTTTACCAAAACATTTGGAAGCTCAAAACGCAGGGATAGGAAAAACTTACCAATATCATGTATCCGGAATTCCTACAGGAACTAAAACCACAGGATAGCTCTAGAACTGTTGTTTGGATGTCAAGCAGAAAAAACATAGATATTGTAGACACAAAGAGATGTCATGTATTCCGAAATTCTAAAATTCTACCCCCTCTGTCCCATATTAGTTGTTGCTCAAACGGATGTATCTAGACGCTAGATACATCCATTTGAGTGACAACTAACATGGACGGAGGGAGTATGGAATAGCCCATCCCAAAAAGAAACGTAGGGATAGGTAAAACAGAGGAACCAAAATTCTATGCAATAGCCCATTCCAAAGGAACGTAGAATAGCAATTCCTTTATTCCAAACGGCACAAAAACAAAATGAACATTTCCCGTAGGAATCATATCCTTCAAAATTCGTATGTTTTTCCTTTGTTCCAAACGGGGCCTTGGAAATTTACATAGCAGGATGCTTCTCTACTTATTCTCAGCCTCAAGCCAACTATATCTGGAATTTAGCAGAATGATTGCCTTATTGAAGATCATGGGAAACAATTGGTTTGGTGTGAATCAGAGGGGAGAGGGGCTCTGAATGGTCAGCTGACTATTGCTTCACTCCTTTTCAGGTCTGTCAATTCAACAAGTCACTCAAGGAAGGCTGATGGGGATTCTGCGAATGTGGTAATGCCACGCTAGCCTGACACCCTGAATAACGTTGCTCTTGATTTCTTGGAAGTTCCATCTTTCGATATATGAACTTTTATTGCCTTGTCGCTGCCTGTTCTTCATGGATATTCAAAGCAAGTTTTCTAATTCATGCAAAGACTTTAACATCAGGAAAAAATATATAATTAAATTGATGTTGCTTTGGGCCATCATCAGGGAGGGGACACTTAATTTATGCTCACTTTATCTTTATCTCTACATTGGTAATTCTATATATTTATTGCCTTTTAGGGTGAATGTGAAGGTTGAGGTAATCGACCAATTGTTGTTTTCTAACCCACCAACAGTGTGTCTAGTGGAGATCTCTGTACCAAAATGTTATATTACTATAGAAGATAAGAAGTAGTAAGTAGAAGTTCTGTTTTTCGCTTTGGCTTAATCCATTATAAACCTTGATTCAGATTATTTTTAATCCATTATTGCAATCAATTTGAGTGGTCAGTTAGCTTCTTGGTAGTTTTGTTAATTTAGTTGCAGTCTATGCTCTATTTGAAATTTTGATTATTGATGCAGAGTGGTACACCACATGACACTGCCAAACATTGCCACGATGAAGAGTTGGGAAACATAGGTAACATGCTTTTGTGCAATGCAACTTCATTATGAAAGGGGAGGATGCTGTATTCCGAATTCTTAGGTAGTTGTATTTTGACCATCTACATATATGTTTGTCACAACTTCGGAATACAGCATCCTCCCCTTTCATATGTCTTGTATGGCAAGTTTGTTAGAGATAGAATAGAATCAATAGTGATTTGTATGAGGTATGTTCTGGCATCACTTCTATATTGATTTGTACTCCATGTTGCCAATATACTTATAGATGTATGCCCTCCGTGGCTTAAGCAACACAGTCAATTATTCCACATGTCTATCCTTCCTTCAGAAACTGTTGGCTAGCAGACCAGTTCTAGCTTTCTAAGTAAATAGTACGAAAGATTATTTATTACTCATATATATATATATATATATATATTGTCCATGTGAAGCACCTTGCTTACAATGTCATACGGTTCTATCTGTACACAGAAATAGTATCCATGTGTCATGCGTGTCAACTCACACACCTTTCATGCTTCAGGAAATAAAACAGATAAAACAGCCAAGCTAATATTAGACTTGTTTCTTTGACTCATTCCATGCCCTTGACTAGCAGGGTATGGATTGGACGATCATAAGCTCACATTCCAAATTGGGTTGGGACTACGGGTGCACCATTCCTATCATATTGTTGTTCTGTCACATGCATTCGCCTATCTCCTTCTGTTTGCACCTATGACTACCATTTGTACTGCTGTTGGTTCTGTTGGGTTATCTCCATAGAACACAATTGGAAGGATTGTTGGTTTATATTACGTTTCTCTGTTACCGAAAAAGGCTTTCGAGGACAACTTTGCAAGAATGATGGCCACTCCTTCAAGGAGAGCTGCAGTATCACAAATTCTGAAGTCCTCACCAGAGTGAAATGGTCAGAAGAGGAAAGTTATTTAGGCTAGAACTTTCATCATTTCCTGTGAATCTTGATGTCCTTCTGAACTTTATTTTCCTTCCTAATGCCTGCTGACAAACAAATTTTGATTTTCCTTCCAGGAAGATAAGGTGCTCGCTCAAATGATCAACAAACATGGGCTGAAAAACTGGCAAACGGTCGCACATGCTATACCTGGTCGAAGTGCACCGCAATGCCGACAAAGGTAAAACAAAGTGTTCGGTTGATTCCTGTGCAATTTCTAGACAGGGCACTCTTTGCTTCACTCTCTATGTGAGTGAGAACTTACACTCTGCTTAAAATTCATCAATTAGTTACTCATGTTTGCTAGTTACCACAAGCTGCGATCTATCACCTCCACAGTGGTGACTTGTTTATTCTTCAGTAGCTTCATTGTCTGTTAGCCTACCTCTGTTGATACATTTGCATGTTGCGTGTACTGCTCATTTTGGACCATTTCTATTTGAAGGCCAGGAAGCCAGATTCTTGGTTGTGGCAAAATTTGTGGCTTAGTCGAGGGTATATGCACAAATTGGTTCACAATTTTCCCTAATAATTTGGTTCTGAAATCGAAGTGATTGTACCAAACTTCTGATTTGCGCTAAGTACCCTTCAGCATCAGGCTGCTTTGTGCTTCAGTTTTTGTGTGGAAAACAGTGAAAGAAACATGTCATCTTATGTCAACATACCAACTGGGAAAATGGTATTATGCAAGGAATTTTCAGTCATCGAATTATTGTAATTTAACATATTATACAGTTTTCTCAAGACTTGTGCTATCACCGCTTGAAAATAAATAAGGGCTCCAAGGTTTGTTACATTATTAGATTCTGTCAGACGGCGTGCCCAGCAACTTTATTACTTCATGTTATCAGTTAGAAGTCCGTAGGTTTGAGTATCAATGGGCATAATGGTAATAAACACAGGTGGAGATACAAAATAGACTCTGCAATAAACAAGGAGGCGTGGTCGGAACAAGAGGAGTTGAGACTGATTCGTGCTCATCAAATCTATGGAACTAAATGGCGTGAAATGGTCAAACATTTTCCTGGGAGGTAAGGTTGGATGTTTCAACAAAAATCTGAATTGATATTGCTGTTGCATTTAATTCTTTCCATCATAATAATTCAGGATGCATTTCTTCAAAATGCTGTTGGTACGATTGAATTATTTACATTGTGTTCATCCAGGACGAATGGTGCAATCAAAGAATACTGGAGGGGTCCTATGAAAAGAAAATTGAATTCATATTTATCGTCAGGTTTGCTTGAACAATTTCCAGACATTCTGGAAAACCTGTCAGGCACACAGAATAAGAGTTTGGATATTCTGAAGGGGACTAAAGTTTCTGATATTCTGAATGACACGGAAGGTTCGTCTGAGAGAAATGAAATGTCGTCAGCTGTACCAAGAATTTCCATATCTGAAGTAGGCTTCACAGAAGTAGGTGAAAATGCTGATGTACTAGGGGGAGAAAGTGCAGATTTCATGTATGCTAGAGTGGCATCAGCCAAAGCCCCTGAAAACATAATCGCAAGATCTGAGCAGCATGCGAAAACCAGGAGGAAGTTGGATTTATTGTCAAGCCCAGTGGAACTCAAGTCATCCAGTTATGAAGTAAATTCTCAAAGGCCTCTACAGCAAAGGGAACAAATGAGTCCAGCTGTTGGTGGTGTCTCTCCATCAAATGGATGCCATGATGTTTTGCCAAAAATCCTATCAGAATGTGCAAAGCCGGTTTTATCACCAACTGGTAGCTACCAACCGAGTGATGTTCATTCTGCGGGAACCTCAGATCCATGTTCATTAGAGTTGGACATATCAGATCTTATGGAAATGTCATACTTTGATAACTTGTTGATCTTTCCTCCTGGTTCTCCACATGATGGTAACTCAATATAAAATGAGGAAAGTGACAATGACCAAAATTTCAACCTCAGATATATTCACTCTTTTGGCAGAAAAGGTGATGAACTAAACTCACTGTTACTGCTATCGTCTTGTAAACTGACAGTTCCTGTATCATTTAGACGAAAATCTTTAGCTGAACAAAAAGTACAATGATGTTCATGTCATAGTCACTTGTTTGAAGCAGGTAACCATGTTCTTTTGTTCTGCATCTTGTTTGATACTCCCTTCGACCTATAATATAGTGTACATTGCTTGACACTCTCTTCGTCCCATAACAGTGTACAGTGGTTTCTGCAAAAGTGAAGTTTCACAAACTTTGACTAATTTATAGAAAACTTTATCTATACCTACATCACCTATTATATATAATATGGAAATGTTTTTGATGATGAATGTAATGGACTAATGGTACTGATTTGGTATTGTATATGTTGACATTCTATAAACTTGCTCGAAGTTTACAAACTTTGACTTGAAGGATATTTAGTTTGATTTGCGCAGTTCGGTTTTATATGTTGGCATTCTATAAAATGGATGTGCGCAATTTGATTGCGCATCTGGGTGTGGCAATAAACACATGTTTTCTTCATTTTTTTTGACATTTGTAAAATCCATTTTTGGCACACAGGAGCATGTGCTCCCTAGAGCCAAAATGGAGCATGTGCTCCCTAGAGCCAAAATGGATTCCCGTGCCAGTGATTCTTATGTATCATGCACATTAAGACAAAACATGAAAAAAAAATCAAAACCTGGGGAGCAACATTGTCATGAGAAACCATGGTCACTATGGGGCCATGAGCCCCTTGTGGTTCGGCAAGGGGATGAGCACATTGCACAAAGAGCGGAGAACGTTGCGCAGCACGACAGAGATCACACGGGCAATTTTATCCAGGTTTGGGTCGCCGCGAGATGTAAAACCCTACTCTTGCTTTGGTGGATTGTGGTGAAAACGCAACGCTCTAGCCTGGTAGGGTTGCCTCGGGGCGAGGTCGGCTATGCGCGTATGAGAATACATGAGTCTGAATCCTTTCTATGTTTGCCACATGCCTCCTTTTATAGATCAAGGGGTCACCATAATGATAAATCAGTCATTGTGTACTGATTAGATAGCAAACAGTGCTATCATACCTAACTCTGCAGACAGGGCAGAGTGCATTAAATGCGTTGCTTAGTGTCACATCATGGCCTGCCCGGCAAGCCTTGTCGGGCTGTTCGGCCACCTTCTCTCCCGCCCTCATGACACGTCTTTGGACGGGTGTCATTTGGAGGTGATTTCCATAGGAAGTGGCTGTCATGTGGCAAGAAACAACCACTTATTCACCTGGTGGCTTGACACCAATGATAAATCAGTCATTGTGTACTAATTAGATAGCAAACAGTGTTATCATACATAACTCTGCAGACAGGGCAGAGCGCATTAAATGTGTTGCTTTGTGTCACATCATGGCCTGCCCGGCAAGCCTTGTCGGGCTGTTCGGCCACCTTCTCTCCTGCCCTCATGACATGTCTCTGGACGGTTGTCATTTGGAGGTGATTTCCATAGGAAGTGGCTGCCATGTGGCAAGAAACAATCACTTATTCACTTGGTGGCTTGACATCACACCGATCGATGACTTGCGTCGCTGTGAGGTGGAGCGGTGGAGCCTTGACGGGGTAGTTTGCCTTCGTAGAGCCCGGCAAGCCTACCTGGATGGTCTTGAGGTTTGTCTTCTTGGTAACCTCATCCTCGCCAGGCTCCCCTGCCCGGCAAGGGAGGCTTTTCCTTGGTGATATCTTGCTTCCTTCGACTTGACTTAGTCTTCTTAATCCGCCATTTGATTCCTCAAAGAGCTGATCTCTTTGGCTTGGTCTAGTCTTGGATGTTGCAACTTTGCTCTTAGGCCTGTGCACGGTCTGGGCAACAGACCCAGGGTTTGTTGCACCGACAGGAGCCCTCGGGCCTAGTCCGAATGCGCTGCCGGGCGTCATCGCGGTAGGCCATATCCAATGCACAGGTAAGAGGGTAGTAGTTGCTTGTCCTTTAAGATCTTCTTTGCTTCTTCATTAACCTATGCTCAGGTCAGTTTTTGGTTCTCCCATGCGTCATGTAATGCCAATTGTAATGGGGTCACTTTTGTAATGGCCCATAAATGACTTTAACGGACGGGCGAGTAACTGCCAATTCACTCTTCTCATAACGCTCTTATCCTTAGCCATGTATGCTACATGCATTGAGTGGGGTAGGTAACAGAGGCACGTGGTGCGAGAGAGGGCCAAGGCAGGGGCCCGGTCTTCATGGATTGGCGGAGAAGGACGGCGATTACTCGCCGAGGGGTCAGCTCCCAGCTCGAGCCCGCCTATAAAAGAGGTGATAGAGGTGAAGGTGTCCCGATGTTTCGATGAGATGGTGGATGTCGTTTTCTGTGGGAGTCGACCTTGACAATTCGACTACAAACGTGCGAGACGTCGCGTCTTAGCAATCGCTAAACCAACTTTCAAGGGGTTATTGACCACGCCGGAGCACGATTGACCATGAAGGTCTGTTTCCTGCGAGCAAATGAAGGCAAGCAAGAAATTAAGATTGCAATCTGGATATTGCGAATATAAAAGAAAAGCTTTATTAATAAAGGTGGGGTTCTGTGACGCCTTTGTCTGGTCGTTGAACACAAACAAAGTACGCGGAGTTGTAGCTATGGCGAACTTTTAATCTAAACAAAACCCAAAGTCTAAACGAAGCCCTAAGGGCTGTATATATGGAGGAAGAGGGGGAATTTCATGGCCCTTGGAGGAGGGGTCCGAAACCAACCCTAACTCTTGTTTCCCCACACATACGGACTCTAAAAACAGCCTATACTTAAGTATTTCGAAATTACATGGGCATGGCCCACTAATAAGGTGACGCAGCACCTAGAATAGCCTCTGGATGAAATTTATAAGTGGCATCTTGTATATTTCGTCCAAGGCTTCATGCACTCCTTATGGTGGCTTCAAATTCCTGAAATCATCACTTGTAACTTCGTTCTTGTTCCCTTTGCGCATGCCATCATCTCCATGCTTGGTCTTGCTTCAGTGTTCATCCCTCTTATCCATGCCAGGCCCTTCATTTTTAAGCAAAACAAATGTATCCAATTTAGACAGCATCATATTCTCATGAACATTAAAATCATTATCAAGAAACAAAAGTACCTGATAATTTAATTAGCGTGCGTGAGCTCTAGTAATTGGTCCAATATGTATATCAGCAGGGGTTGTGGGTGTAACAATGGTATTGATGTCCTCATCATCCTCTCCTTCTTGAAATGAAGTCGTCCTCGACGAAAGCTCATCTTCCTCACCCAAATAAGACTTCAAAACTGCAATGTTAAAAGTGAGACTAACCCCAAAATCTGCAGGCAGCTCAAGTTTATATGCATTATCGTTTATTTCCTCTAACACCTTAAAAGGACCATCAACACGTGGCATTAGCTTTTATTTGCGCAAATTAGGATATCTATCCTTACACAAATGTAACCAAACAAGATCTCCAGGTGCAAACACAACATGTTTTCTACCCTTATCTCCAGCAAGTTTATATTTAACATTCATACGCTCAATGTTTTCCTTAGTGAACTCATGCATTTTTGAAATCAATTCAGCACGTTCTTTAGCATCAGAATTAACCTTCTCCGAAGATGGAGGAGCCAACAAATCAATAGGTGCACGAGGTAGGAAACCATACACAATTTCAAAAGGGCACATCTTAGTAGTAGAATGCAATGAATGATTATAAGCAAATTTAATATGAGGCAAGCATTCTTCCCACATTTTCTTATTATTCTTCAAAACAACCCTAAGCATAGTAGACAATGTTCTATTGACTACTTCAGTTTGTCCATCAGTTTGGGGGTGACAAGTAGTACTAAAAAACAGTTTAGTCCCCAATTTAGCCCATAAACATCTCCAAAAGTGGCTAAGAAAGTTTGTATCATGATCTGAAACAATAGTATTTGGCACACCATGCAAGCGAATAATTTCACGAAAAAACAAATCAGCAAAATTAACAGCATCATCGCTTTTATGACATGATATAAAGTGTGCCATTTTCTAGAATCTATCCACGACAACAAATATGCTATCCCTTTCCTTCTTTATTCAAGGTAAACCCAAAACAAAGTCCATAGATATATCCTCCCAAGAAACACTAGGTACAGGCGAAGGCATATATAAACCATAAGGATTGAGTCGTGACTTAGCTTTTTGACATGTAGTGCAACGAGCAACAAAATGCTCAACATCCCGTCTCATTTTTGGCCAAAAGAAATGTGTAGCAAATACGTCATCCGTCTTCTTCATGCCAAAGTGTCCCATTAATCCTCCTCAATGCGCCTCCTGCAACAACAAAAGACGAACAGAGCTAGCTGGAATGCATAGCTTGTTAGCATGAAACACAAATCCATCATTAATGACGAACTTGTTCCACGTTCTTCCTTCTTAACAATTCTGCATTACATCTTTCAAATTAGCATCATGCACATATTGATCTTTGATGGTCTCCAAACCAAATATTTTAAAGTCAAGTTGTGAAAGCATAGTACAACGACGAGACAATGCATCAACAATAACATTTTCTTTATCCTTCTTGTGTTTAATGACATAAGGGAAAGTCTCAATGAATTCAACCCATTTAGCATGTCTATGGTTCAGTTTTGCTTGACTTTTAATATGTTTCAAAGATTCATAATCAGAATGTATAACAAATTCTTTGGGCCATAAATAATGTTGCCATGTTTCTAAGGTCCGAAGAAGAGCATATAATTCCTTATCATAAGTAAAATAGTTCAAACTAGGCCCACTCAATTTTTCAGAAAAGTATGCAACGGGTTTGCCATCTTGTAATAACACACCTCCTAATCCAATTCCACTAGCATCACATTCAAGCTCAAAAGACTTATTAAAATCAGAAAGTTGGAGTAAAGGAGCACGTGCCAACTTATCTTTTAATACCGCGAAGGCTTCTTCCTTGGCGCTACCCC